TTGTTCCTCTACTAGTTTATTCATCTTAATAAATAGCACCACCACCCACCCAGTGATTCAAGCCAAAAACATAGGAATCATTCTTGAATTCTTAGTTTCCAAATTTATTCCCTCACCCAAGTCCAGCTACATCATCAGCAAGTCCTGTTGACTCTTCCTCTGAACAGTATCCATCACCTGCCCACCGTCCTCTGTTCTGCTCCTGCCAACCCAGGCCAAGCCCCTGTCCCCTCTCCTAGGTTCTGCTCCCGTTCTTATATGTCTCCCACTGTTTTACAGACATTCTCAACAAGAAGCCAGAGTGATCTTTTTAAATCATAAGTTAGCCTTGTCAATTTCTTTCTTTAAACTCTCCAAAGGCTTCCTGTTACACGTAAAATAAAACCACACTGCTTACATTAGCTGACAAAGCTGCATCTGATCTGGACCCTGCCCCTTCTCTCCACCCCTGCCTCGTTTCACACCACTCACGGTTCTTCCCCTACAATCAAATCATGCAGGCCTTATTTCTCCTTCTCTGTTTCGCCAAGCCTGTTCTTGCCATGGAGCCTTTGCACAGTTACTTCCCTTTGCCTGGAACATTTTGCCCTTTACTTTAGTCTAAAGTAAAGTAACTTAAGTAGTCACACACACACACACACACACAATTAAGTAGTCACCTTTATAATGTGGCGTATTTTATTGTCATCAGTTTTCACAGCACTTCTCACTATATGAAATTATCTTTTCATTGTTTACATTCTGCCTCATCCCCCCTACCCCCAGCTGTCACCACGTTCATATTTGAGTGTATCTGAGTGTTTCAGAATACACTCAAATTCCAGAATATGTCTGGAATAGTGCCAGGCACATAGTAGATCTTCAGAGGGTATTAAATGAACCGTGACAAGTGGTATGTGTGTTTCCATTAACAGCAGTATTGAAATGGTTCTTTTGATGCCATTAATATTATTTTAATAGGATAACAGAATTCTCTATTTCTCTCTTGTTTACGCTTTAGATATGAAGCCCCACAGATTGCCTTACGTTGTGGGATTATGCTGAGAGAATGTATTCGACATGAACCGCTTGCCAAAATCATCCTCTTTTCTAATCAATTCAGAGATTTCTTTAAGTATGTGGAGTTGTCAACATTTGATATTGCTTCAGATGCCTTTGCTACTTTTAAGGTAATTTTTTTTTTTCCAAATCAGCTAGGTCAATTTATAGTCACTTGGCCTCTGAAGAGGCAATTTAATTTTAAAAAGCAAGAAATTTTATTTCCTAGCCCTCAGCGTAGCCAACCTTGTATGATGTGGATCATAAGAGGCATCTGTAAATAGAATGCAGTTCATGAGGCCAGTCTGTCCTATTGCAGGAAAACAACTCAAACTATTTGTCACAAGCTCACATGGACTGAATTCCAGTATATACGGTTACGTGGCAAGAGGAATATGTAGCGCTCTGTGTGTGGCATGCTGCCATTTATGTTAAAAACAGATTACGGGGCTTAAGCTTCCACTTAAGGTATATATGCACTGAATACCTCTGCAAGGATGCATAGGAAACAGCAACAGTGATTAATTCTGGGGAAAGGAACCAGGTAGTGAAGGGAGATGGAGAATTACATCTTTGAATGTGAAGGACATCATGTTATTTTATGAATGTAATTTTTAAATGTCCACATGGTGAAGCAAAACAGTAATAAATTATACTGTCATTTTTCATAATCATCTATAGTTTGATCATGTATTATCTACTTTGTCACTATGTAGGAAATCGTAGGAGGCAGCATATTCACATTGTTAGGTAACCAACTACCAGAACTTTTTTATTTTGAAAAATTCAAACTCTACCTCTATACTCATTAAACTATAACTCCCCATTTCCTCCTCCCTCCAGCCCCTGACAACCATTTTACTTTTGGTTTCTGTGTTTTATCATCAAAAAAAAAATATTCAGAGAATATATCAGAAAAGAGTGCAGCTAACTTGCAGACAAACATACCAAAACTTATTCATTTAATGAGTGATGTTACATTCAAGGTTTCTATTTTAGAAAACCAGTTACTTAGGCTTATCATCCTGCTATTATTTAACATATATTGAAGTTGGTATCAATGTGTATTACATGCTCATTTTTCAGCTCATTTTTCATCTTTCAAGGGCAGATAAAAGTTTTGGAAACAAAAGCCTATTTGACATTCCAGTTAGTGTATAAAGTGGGTGATCAAGTTAGCTAGAATTATTTTGGGGGGATAATAATGATAATGAAAATAATTTTAAGATAGAAATAGAAATAAAATAGATATGATTTTCTTCAATGTCTACCAAATCAGCTCTGAAGCCATTTTAGAAGAGGAGTTCAAAAAATGTTATAAACGGACAATGTAACAGCATCATTGAAAAAAACAGGTTTTCAGGTTGAAAAAGTAGATAAGACTCATTTAAATGTATATATATTCAGATTCATTTCTTTAAAAGCATTTTAGCAATGTAATTGTTCTATCTACATAACTCCAAATTAATTTATACTTTTTTCAAGATATACGTATGTAACTTTTTTTACAAGTTTTCTTAATTGTAATCCATATATTTTTATTTTTATATATTATCTTAAATATGTATTTCAATAATGATATAGTCCATATACTAATATTAATACATACTCCAATCTTATTACTTTATGAACAGTGATTGAAAGTTGCCTATGACTTAGATGATAAATAGTTCTTTTAAATAGCTCTCCAGAGGTGGAAAAAGGGGAAAGCAGTGGTTTGCTGTGCTGAAAACTACCTATTATCTGCAGACTAGGAAGTTACCCAGCCTGTTCTAAGAAGGTGCCATAAATCTATTGAAAGGTATATTAGCTCACATGGTCACAGAAAGTGTGAGAGAGTGTCAGAGAGTGGTAAAGGGCGGGAGATGTCAGTGGGGCAGAAGGAAGCTGGGACTTAGGGAGAAGAATGCCTGGCAGAGGGTGAGGGATGGGACAGGGTCTCCGTGGAGGCAGAGCCTGCAGGCCTGGCCGTCAGAGGGATTTGTTGTGTTGGAGAAGACCAAAGAGTGGTGGGTGGTTAAGGGGGAGGCAGGTCCTGGCAGCTGCCTGGGACACGATCTGTAAAGGCAACCAGGCCATCTCTGGAAATACAGGGAGCAAAGGAAAATCTAATTGACAAGAACTCTGGAGGGAGAATACTGTTTGATAATGATGGGAATATTTGGAAGCCACTGGGGTGGGCTGGGGGTGGATTCCAGGGCAGGCTTAAGCAACAGCAGCTGGTTGTTAACAGCTGCCTAGGAGCAGGGTGAGCCCAGTTAACTGCGGCACTTTTTGAGACAAGGTCTCACTCCCTCACCTAGGCTGGAGTGCAGTGGTGCAATCTCAGCTCACTGCAGCCTTGACCTCCCAGGCTCCGGTGATCCTCCCACCTCAGCCTCCCAGGTAATTGGGACCACGGGCGCATACCACCATGCCCGGCTAATTTTTGCATTTTTAGTAGAGATGGTGTTTTGCCCTGTTGGCCAGGCTGGCCTCGAACTCCTGACCTCAAGCCATCCGCCTGCCTTGGCCCCTGCAAAGTGCCAGGATTACAGGTGTGAGCCACTGCGCCAGGCCACTGTGGCACTTTTGTTGTCATAAGCAGGAGGGTGTGCAGTTTCGGACCAGCACTGAATTGCCTGAGACAACAAAGGAAAGCAACCGCAATGCCGTCATTTCCCCAATGCCTCAGGCAAACCTGCAACAAACAAAAGGCCTCTAGCCTCTGGGTTTGAAGGGAAGGAGTTCGCAGTCTGCTCTGGTGTCCACAGGCCTCCATTCAGCCTGCCAGCCTCCTATAGTCTCCCTAAGGAAAGCAGGGAAGAGAGGAGGAGCCCACAGGGGAGGTCTGGGTAGACAGAAAAGGGCCAGGGAAAGAAAGAGAAGGGAAGAAGGGGAATTAATGAGAGGCTGAGTATAAAGAGTGGGAAGCTTGGAGTAAGGAAACCGAAATTTCAGGAGAACAGCCGAGTGAGGGAAGGAAGGAAGGAAAAGAAGGAGGAAGGGCTTGGGAACAGATTCCTGGAAGTGACTGCTGGGTGGAGGGAGGGGCGGTGAGGGCAGCATGACTCCGGGCTCAGGAGTGTTGGAAATCCCAGGAGCGGCTGTGTCTTACCCAGGAAGACAAAAATTGTACAGCAGCTAGAGATGAACCCCCCAAAAGGTGGATCTAGAGCTAGTGGTGAGATAGGCCTCGGTTGCATCCAACATGAAGAATGACATTAGATACAAAGGATGATTCCATTTCTTTCTACCAAAATGTCTGTGTTTAAACTACTAAGGAGGTGTTTGCTAATAATAGACACTACAGTCCCATGTTTTTTCCCTTTCCTATCAGATGGCTCATCGCTGTCATGGAAACAAGTAAATTCATTTTTGAAAAAAACACAAGTAAGCCTTCATATAATTACAAACATAGAACAAACGCCAATAGAGGGGGAAAGCAAATACTTAATATGTATTTCTGAAAATTTCCCCAAAGGTTTTTAAACATTTGATAGAAAAAAATGTACTTGGTAGTAATTTTTTGCTGTCATATATTCAGCCCAATTTAATTTTCAGCAACAATATTGAATCAAAAATAAATAATGATGTTTTGATTTGTATTTAAGCCAATTTTCCATCGAATTTAAGTCAATCCTTTAAAATCTAAATAATCATAAAAAGTTTTCTAGTGTGCTGCCAGTATTGGAAACACCAATTTTCTATATTTTACCAAATGCTTACGGTTAATATAATGTAACAAATAAATCACTTTTTTTTTTTTTTTTAAGTAGCTGGTTTCAAAGGGTTTTGTTTGGTTGGTTGATTTACTGGATTTTGACATTGGCTTTGGGTTTTTATAACCTCCTACTCTCATCTTTTTGGTTTTGAGCTCTTAAAGGGACTGTTGCTCAGTTTAGTTATTAATATTGTAACATTGTTAGTTTATGATTTTAGCATAGAATTTTCTACCAAAAGTCCTTTCCCAAAAAAGGATTCCTTACAACCATAATCTCTTTCATCCCTCCCTCTAAAAATTCCCATAATAGAAGTGGTTTGAATTCTGTCTTTCTCTGCCACCTGGTAAGCTGGATGTCCTTGAGCAATTTAGTTAACCTTTGAGTTTTATTTTCCACATCTGAAATGAAGAAAATCATCCCTTTATCACGGACTTGTGAAGATCAGAAACTGCATTTGCAAAGTGCTCGGTTCACTCCCCAGCACCGTCAGCCCTCTGAACAGCAGCTGTCACTGGCTCCTCAGCCTTTTATGTCCCTGCAATTGTCTCTCTCACTCCACCCCGAGTTTCTCCCAAGCAGTATTCATTAAAAATATCGATATCAGATTTTCAGCATAATAGTTATACTATGCAAAACGTAGGCCTCTCAAAACAGAATTGTTAGGAGGTAGGATGAAAGAGTACACTATTTGAAATAAGGCTTTTAAATTCTAAATTCTTTAGAGTTTGAACTTTATTTTCCTTCACAATTTTCTGTCTTCTCCTTCTTGGGTAGGATCCTAGCTGTTTTTATTTTTATTGTTTTCACTCAGTTATGTGATCTATAATGCAGCACTTATATTTATCTCTGTATTATATGTACTTAAACCTGTGTGTATGTATATGTGGTTTGTACATACATTTATTGTATACATAAATTTGAAGGTATATCTATATATCAATCCTATCCCACACTGGAGTGGAAATGTGG